GCCAAGCGCACTCCTGCAGGGCCAGCCTGTGTGTGTGTGTGTGTGTGTGTGTGTGTGTGTGTGTGTGTACGCGCGTGTGCAGACACACCGTGATCCGGGAGCTGAGACAGCATCTCCACACACCTGTCACCGCACAGGGAGCACTGCTTGGTGCACGACCCTTGTGCATACTCCAGACCAGCACGCTTCTGTTTTCCTTCTTCTGAGACTTGTCTCACCATGTCGCTCAGGCAGGCCGGGAACTCATCCTGCCTCAGCCTCCTGAGTGCTGGGATTGATTACAGGCCTGGCTGCAGCCAGTTTCTAACCACACCGGACTGCCCTGACCCTGCTCTTTCACCAGCTCCTCCAGGGTCCTTCCTGGGGAACCGGCCCAGCACAGCTGCACAAGCCCCTCCACTCTGCCAGGAGCATAGCCGGGCACCCTCCACCGACAGCCCGTATTCACTCCAGACTCCAGGTCTCTAACAGCTTGCAGGGGCTGGGCACCCAGCCGGGGCTTCCTAGAGCCCAGTCTTGCTCTCCAGAGAACAGATAATTACAGCCACCTTTGCATGAATGCCTCAAGCTGCTGAGGTGGTGCAGGCCTGTAATCCAGCTACTGGGGAGGCTGAGGCAGGAGGACTACAAATTCAAGGCCAGCCTGGGCAAACTGTGAGACCTTATCCCAAAATAAACAATTTAAAAAGTGCTGAGATATAGCCCAGCATGAAGGCCCTGGATTCAATCCCTAGGACTGAAAAAAGAATGTCTTAACTCTGACCCTGAGAATTTAGAACTGGACCACAGGGACACTTCCCCGACACGCCCACGGGGGAGAGGCTCAGGGCCTGTGCCCCTGGGAGCCCAACCCAGCTCCCCACAAAGTTCACTTGCACAGTGGCAGGGAGGGCCCTGAGCAGAGCGAGGTACAAAGGTCACAGCAGAAACAGGCCGAGGGCCAGGGTGACCAGGGAACAGGGATGGGCCAGGGCAGGGCTCAGAGAGCAGAGGCCTGGCCTCAGCTGGCCCTTCAGGAGCCAGGACCTTCATGGAGACAACAGGGCCCCAATCCCCTGCACCCTGGGGTAAAGAAGGCCCCTTCGGAGAATTGAAACCAGCACCAGAGAGAGGGAAAACAAAATACCCACATCCAACCTCCACCCTGTGCCAGCCACCCTCACTCCCCAGGGGCAGGCACCTCCCTTGAGAGAGAAAACCACAGGCCCACACCTCCAATGCACTGAGCTCAGCAGAAAGGGGTAGGGGCTGGAAGCCCTGCTCTTCTGGGCCTCTCTCACCCATAAAGGCTGCCATGCTCACTGCGGCAGCATCAGGCATCCCAGCTGCCCACACATTATACCCCAGAGCCTCCCCGCTTGAGAAAAAGGGGTGAGTTGCCTGGCCCCTGAAGATGGTAGGAAAACCCAAAGGCCTGAAGGGTCAAATCTCAGCTCTGCCATTCTGGGTGACCTTCGGCAAGTCCCTTCACC